GACTGAGCCACCCAGGTGCCCCAAGCTTTTTCTTTTCACAACTTATCTCTGATAAATTTTCTATAGGAGATATATTTGAATTATTTTACAGGTCCCAGACTATTATGACATCATCAAAAAGCCCATTGCCTTAAATATAATTCGTGAAAAAGTGAACAAATGTGAATATAAGTTAGCATGTAAGTAATTTATGTTTTTCTCTGATAATTATTTTTGTTTAAAGAGGTAAAGGCTGTTTTCTCGTGATTTAAATGATGTATATTAATGTGGTTGTATAGATGGCATCCCAAGAGGTCCCTAAAATGCTTGTCTATGTATACAGAGATAAAAGATGCATAGGGATTAAATGAGTTTTAGATATTTTATAGAATCTGATCTTGATAGAAGTTCTATGTAATTATATAACATTCCTAATTACATAAGTGCATAGTTTCAGCAAATCAATTTTAAAGCATTTATAGTTCAACAATTTTAGGTTTTAGTTCTACTACCTTGTTTCAGAGGCTTCAATTTCTTTTTTGGGGAACAGGGTAGAGTCAGGTCATTTGTTTGTCTTTTACATGAAAACAATATGGAGTAGAGGCTTCAGTTTCTTTTTTCTTTCTTTCTTTTTTAAAGTTTTTATTTATTTATTTTGAGATAGAACCAGCAGGGAAGGGGCAGGGGGATGGGGGGAGACAGAGGATCTGAAGCAGGCTCTGTGCTGACAGCAGAGAGCCCAATGCAGGGCTCAAACTCACAAACCATGAGATCATGACCTGAGCCAAAGTCAGACGCTTAACCAACTGAGCCACCCAGGTGTCCCAGAGACTTCAATATGTAAAGAAAAAAGTGGGCTTCCGTTTTCTTAATGACATTTCCAGCTGTGATACAAACAAAATGTATATTTATAATTTATGTACTTTTATTCTAATCTCATTTGTTCTTTTCTTTCTAGCGGAATTTATCGATGATATTGAGTTAATGTTTTCGAACTGCTTTGAGTACAACCCTCGTAACACAAGTGAAGCAAAAGCTGGAACTAGGCTTCAAGCATTTTTTCACATTCAGGCTCAAAAACTTGGACTCCATGTCGCACCTGGGAATGTGGATCAAGTTAGCACACCACCAGCTGCAAAGAAGTCGCGAATCTAATTTTGTCCTTCTGAAGGATATATTTGAGAAAGACACATTGTTCATGAAAATGGAACATTAAATCATGCTCTAAAGCAGACATATATATTTATATATATAAAGCAATAACAACTGATTGACCACATTGAAGTGTGGCCTGCACTATATTCTCAATTTTAATATTAAGCACTCAGGAGAATGTAGGAAAGATTGCCTTTGCTACAGTTTTGTTCAGTATCTAATAAGTTTGATAGATGTATTGGTTACAGTACTGGTTTACAGAGGTTTTTGTACATTTTGAGATCATTCATGTGTCCCAATATCTCTGAAAATATTTTCTCACCTGTGATTTATTTTGTTATTGATTTTTTTTTTTAGAAGTGTGGTATTAAGGGAGATTTGTCCATACAGATAAATCTTCTATTATAGCACAGTCTAGGAAAAAAAAGCATATATGTCTAAGATGTTTAATAAGCACATTCTTTCAACACTACACATGAATGCATCCAATTTTATATCCTTGAAGTGCTGTACCAATGCTGGCTGGAGATATTAAGTCTGAGTTTATTAACTAGATATTTATTTAGCATTCAAAATAATTTGTGAATTTGTTTTGTATTTATAAAATTTGTACCTGGAAAATGTTCTTTAATTTTTTAAACATTTTACTGTGTTTTTGTTTTATTTCTCTAACTTCTTTAATGAACAATCAGTAAAAGGTAACCCCTCCCTTTTCCCTGACAGTTCCTTCAGTTTTACAGAACTGTATTACAGGTTTCTATGTACAACTTTTTTTAAGTGTACAAATAAAATGATACATGTTTTTCAAGTATTTGGAATCTGGAATTTTTACAAAGCAGAATTGGACTATTGCATGTGATACATACAGACCATAGGAACTAATGTTTTATTGTACCTGAGTCTCTATGGCAGTGATTTGCATCTTTTTCTGCCCCAACCCTTGAGAGGTAAGATACCTCCCATGAGTAACAGCAGCAGTCTCTGATAGGGATTCTCAGTAAAAGGAAGAAAGAAAGTTTGGAATATGCCCACCTGGTTAAGAAACACCACTCAATATTTTATAAATTAAATAGGAGGTGCTATTTCTTAGGGATGGAAGATATACAGAGGCCTTAGTTTCATAGGACTAGCTGTCCTTTTTAGAATGCAAAACGCAGGTGTCCTCTCTAGGGCTTTTTGGAAGGCAGTAGAATCATCCTGTTTTCTCATCTAAAATCTTGCCATATGTTCACAACTGTAACTTTTGATATATTTGTAATCATTTCATATACCAATAACCAAATTTCTTAGAAAATTGTACTTCAGTATTTACTCAGGAGAGAATTCTAAAATGCAAGTACACTTCAATAGTAAATTATCTGATTACTTAATATTCTTCACTTTTTAATGTTCATAACAACTAACATTTGTATGTGCTTTTCTTCTAGACAATAAACACTAAGAAGGAAAATTCTGTCCAACTAATAACTGTTAAGTCTGAAAGTCAGTCTTAAGACTTGGCAATTTATATGTTGCCTTTCTCGGACTCAGTGAAAATTAAGGACATTGCTTTTTAATCTGCCCAGCCAGATTTTCTTAGATATAGAAATCATTACTTACACCCATACATACCTGCAGTAATTGAAATTTTACACAGCAACAAGGCTAACATACATACATAACATTCATAGTAGTGGCTGGGAATGTAATGTTGACATGACCAAGAAAACAGCATTATCCAACTCCTATTTTGAGTTTATGTTTTTCTTCAAGGAGACAGAACTACAAAATGGAATGGGTGGAATAGAAACATAATTGAAAACTCAAGTCCAAGATAGTTGAGACATTTCAGTGAGCTAGGCACCACTTACTGAGTTCAATTTCCAACCCCAGATAAACTATATATGTAAAAGCACTTAATTTGTGGGGCACCTGAGTGACTCAGTCAGTTGAGCATCTGACTTTGGCTCAGGTCATGATCTCACAGTCTAGAGATCGAGCCCCACGTCAAGCTCTGTGCAGACAGCTCAGAGTCTGGAGACTGCTTCAGATTCTGTGTCTCCCTCTCTGCCCCTCCCTCTGCTTGCACTCTATGTCTCAAAATAAAGACATAAAAATTTTTTAAAAATAAATAAAAGCACTTAATTTGTAATTGTAAGAGGGTGCTAGAAGGGAAAGAAATTAACACATCTTGTTATATGCCAAGCCTATTAATTTAGAAGTTTATATCCTTCATACCTAATAACTATGGGAAATGCTTTTTATGTTAAGCCAATTCTGTAAGGATTTTCGCTGTTATTCTCTCCATCTTTCAAGTGAGATTTTGACTCAGATGAATTTTTTTGTAAGTACTTGCCCAAGATCACAGAGTAAATGACACCAGGCTGTCGAAATTCCTTATTTCCAATATGCTAGGCTACCTCCAGGAAGATGAGGGATATGCAAATTTATCTCTGAACAATAAAAAAGAGTGGGCAGAAAGGAAAGTGGAGAATGTACATGTATTCATATCAGATAATAGTCTATGTCACATGTTTGGAGAGTTACTCATTTTAAGCATATGCTTATTTTCCTTTTTTATTTGTAGTGTCTAAGGATCACTGTCCTATTCTTCAGCCATGTGCTCAGAATATGTACTAAAGGGAGCACGAGAATAGGAAAAGCTGCTATCTTCCAAACTTTGGATTTAGTTCCCATGCATATTTGGCTACAGATCTAATTAATATTGGCTACAGGATCCTTATTAATATTTTAGCAAAATCAGAAATGTGTGAGAAGCCAAAATTTAACAGCTATGTCATGCTTTGAACATTGTTCTTCCAAATATGTTCATTCTCTCATTTGTTTGCTATTTTTTTCCAATGTTAAAATATTTAAATGTCTTGGACTTTTTCTCAAGAGAAAAGGAGGTATGCTTGGACACATGTGAGTTCATTGTTTTAATTTCAAAAAAAAAATGGACATGGTGCTTAGGTTAATTTCACTAACAACATGAGGAAGATTGTGCATAAACCACATATTCTGCATTAGCCTTTATGCTCACAGTTCAGGAGAGCTTGCTATATTAAGCAAAGGTGTCAAAGCAAACCTCTAGATGAGAAAAAACATGCAGAAACATCAGTGTGTTTGTGATTTAATGGTGTACAAATGACTGAGCAGACCTTTAATCTTTCTATTCATTCTCTTTCTAGGTAAAAGTTTGTCTTGAGAGCCAGTGACCCTTACTGTCAAAGAAATTGAGAAAATATATTCAAAGTATTGATGAACAAATCTCTAAAATGTGAAGCTGTGATTTAAGCCTTTGATTGGATCAATATTAGACGTATATTACTTTTCCCCAGTAATCTGAAAAGCTTACTTCTCCTAGTTACAAAATTAATAAATGTCCATTGTCCAAAAAATAGAAAACAATAAAATGCAAAATAGAAATAAATTTGATGTATAATTTCTCAGATTATTTTCTTCAGTAAAAATGGATCGTGGTATACAAATCCTATTTTAAACAGCTGTTTTCACTTTGTACCGTACATTGTGGATATCTCTGTTCTTTATGTGCTGTTCAGTGTTCTGCTGTATCTAAGGCTCACCTTGTTTGGAAACCTCTCCGATAACCCAGTCCTGCATTCACTTAACCAGGTATCTGATAGTTAATTATAAAAAATTATAATTAAAAATTATAAAAAATTATAATTTACTTGTGATGTTTTGGCTAACTACTACAATTAATTCAGTAACCATTTACATGTATGTAACAGCTGTTTCTGTTATTAGAGCCTTAAAATGAGTTAATGATCAGAAGTGACAAACTAAAAAATGGATAATGAGGCAGTGTAGCATTTCTACAGCTAATAGGCATATAATTTTTTTTTTAATTTTAATGTTTATTTTTGAGAGAGAAACAGCGTGAGCAGGGGAGGGGCAGAGGGAAAGGGAGACAGAATCAGAAGGAGGCTCCAGGCTCTGAGCTGTCAGCAGATAGTTATAGGCATATAATTTTAAATATTTTCCTGCCTGGGGGTGCCTAGCTGGTTCAGTGGGTGGGGTGTGTGACTCTTGATCTCACAGTCTTGAGTTTCAAGCCCCATGCTGGGTGTGGAGATTACTTGAAAAAATAAAACATTTTTCTTTCTTTCTCTTTCTTTCTTTCTTTCTTTCTTTCTTTCTTTCTTTCTTTATTTCTTTTTCATTCATTCATTCATTCATTCATTCATTCATTCATTCATTCATTCCTGCCCAGGCTTCTTGTGGTATTTCTTCTGCCTGATCTCATACACTTTTCACTGTTCAGTCCCCATAATCCTCTAGGATAGGACTTAGCGAACTTTCTGTAAAGGTTTAGATAGGAAATATTTAAGGCTCTGCCAGTCATCTGTCTCTGCTATATTCAACTCTGCCGATTGTAACACAAAAGCAGCTAGAGACAATGCATAACTGATGCATGGCTGTGTTACTGTAAAACTTTATTTGCAAAAACAAGTGTGGGGCCAGATTTGGCTTTGTTTTCTGATCCCTGATCTGGAGTAAATAATACATAATTTAAACAAAGAGCAGTATTTAACAAACGGAAAGAACTCTTAATTTTCTTCACCAGTTCTTGCTCTGGCTACTCTTAAAAGTCAAGATTCACCTGTAATCTCATCTTTGGTTCTCTTTTATTTTAGGTCTACATACAGTCCCTGAGCAATTGCATACTGCTTCATGGTGAAACTTAGCAACTGCCCCATGCTAGATTCTACTTCCAGCCATGAAGGAGGAACGGGTACAGGATTTGATACCCTGTTGTAAACAGAAAACTGGACGAAATACGTCAAACTTTTTGTATATTGCACAATAATTAGTATAGGACTGTTATCTCTGCAAGATCTCCCTATTACTGGAATTACCTTCCTAAATAACAAAACTAAGCCACTCAATTTCTTATTTATAATTTTCCTTTCCTGTTACCTCCAATGGGATTAGCTTGGCCTGTACAAACTGACACCATTCTGTCAACCACATGTATCACTTCCCACTACACCATCTATGTATTGGTTCCTGTCACACTAGACTGTTGTGTCTCAGAAATTAGGACTCTGAAGACTTCATGCCTTTTCGCTTGCTCTGCCTTCCACCTGAAATGTCTCCCACTTCACCAGCCAGAAGC